TTCTATTATACCGAGGGTCACTACCAGCCGGAACTGACTTAATGGCACTTAACAACAACACTGTACACTCATAGTAGTCCTGCTGGCACAGTGGTTAAGTGCTCTGCTACTAACGGGAAGGTGGGCAATTCGAACCCACCAGCTGCTCCTCAGGAAAAAGATATGGCAATCTGCTTCGTAAAGATTTACTATAAACTTGGAAACACTATGGGCAGTCCTATTGTGTCCAATAGGGTCACTATTAGTCAGAATTGACTCAAAGGCAATGGATATATACACTGATCCTCTGGGCTGGAGTACTTTCTTGGATCTTTTGCCCATATCCAAAGATTTGGGTTGCATGATTACACACTGTTACTACTTTTAGTCCTAGAGAAGGAACAAATAAAAGCCATTACTTGCCCCTAACTAAGGAGTCCTCGTAGCGCAGTGGGTTGTGCATTGGGCTGCTAAGCACAAGGTCAGCAGTTAGAAACCGCAAGCCACTAGGTGAAGAAAGATGAGGCTTTCTGCTCCCTTAAAGTTTTACAGCCTTAGAAATACAAGGTCACTATGAGTCGGAATCGACTCAACGGCATGTAGCAGCAGCGGCAGCAGCACGTAGCTTGCCAAACTTTTGCCCTTCCCCAAATGTTTTTATTATTTCTTTTTTCTTAAAAACCTTAATTCCTCTGATGAGTCTTAGCTTGTCATTTTTAAGCAGAAACACTTTCAGCTTATACATTTCACTAAGCCATTCCTTTCCTGGGGCATAAGAAGTGTTCATAAGTATTTGTGGGGATTCTGTACCAAGCAGTTTATTGTAATAAATAAACAAATAGAAAGCCCTAATACTCCCTTTTTTTCTTTCAGTGAACCCTCACCTTTCTGTTTTTGTGATTCAACCCACATATCTTTAACCTCTTAATTAACCATATTAAGTGAAGACACACTCTAAAGCCTGGTCTATAAAACTCTTAAGAATCAGCATTTCAAATATCTCATCTTTAAGGTACTGCCAGGAGTTCACTCTTGATCATATTACAATAGGACAAACCATTAAATGATTAAACTCAACCAAAACACTTGAGCAATTTATATATTCTGACCAATGTGGATGGACAACATGTGGAAGGAAATCACAAACTCCAAGGGGCAAATCAGAAGAAATGCACAATAAAATAGTAGTTGATGGTGGTGTTAAGTGCTGCCAAGTTGGTTCCAACTCATAGCAACCTTATATAAGGTTTCTGAGGAGCAACTGGTGGGTTTGAACAATAGACTTTGCAGGTAGCAGCCCTGTGCATAACCTACAGCACCACACCTAGACTCTATAATTGGTAGCAGTTATCATAAAACTGCTATTTCCAGAACAAACAATATGGCAGATTGGGTGGATGTGCAGGAAAGGAGCTCCGCCAACAACAACACAGAATACCCGAACAAGCAGGCTCAGGGTATGGTCCCAGAACTTTGGACCAAATATAAAGGAATATTTAGAAGTTTGGAAGGCTCACAGCTGGGGGAATTTGT